GCGCGCGCAGCTCTTGCCGCGCGTGCGCATACAGCCGACGGGGAGGAGAAGAGGAGGATCGGAGGAGGAGAGCTCTCCGCCCAGCGCTGGAAAAAGGTACGTTTTACCCCTTTCCAGAGCCGGGCGGGAGGGGGTCCCTGAGGGTGGGGGCACCCTCAGGGCACTATAGTGCCAGGAAAACGAGTATGTTTTCCTGGCACTATAGTGGTCCTTTAACTTCTGTGGCTGGTAAAATATTTGAAAGGTTATTAAGGAATAATATTCAAGAATTCCTTGAGAAAAACATGGTTATCAGCAAAAATCAGCAAGGTTTTATGAAGCACAGGTCATGTCAAACTAACTTGATTGCGTTCTACGAAGAAGTAAGTAGAAGTATAGATCAGGGTGTTGCCGTGGATGTGATTTATTTGGATTTTGCCAAGGCATTTGATACAGTTCCACACAATAGATTAGTGTTCAAACTCAAGGAAATCGGTCTAGATGAAAATGCTTGTTCTTGGGTAGAACATTGGCTTAAAACAGAGTACAAAGAGTTGTCATTAATGGTAAATTTTCAAGCTGGACAGAGGTGGCAAGTGGTATCCCTCAGGGGTCTGTTCTGGGACCCCTTCTATTTAACATGTTTATAAATGATCTTGAATACAGCATTGAAAGTCATGTTTCAGTGTTTGCAGATGACACAAAACCTTGTAAAATAATACAATTTGAGCAAGATATTACTGGGGTACTGGACACTCAAATGGCAGATGAAATTTAATGTTGAAAAATGCAAAGTTATGCACTTTGGCGTAAAGAATACACAAGCAACGTATACCCTTAATGGAAGCGAATTAGGGATAACAACACACGAAAACACTATGCAACAATGTGCAATGTCAATCAGCAGTGGCCAAGGCCAGTATGGTATTGTCATGCATGAAAAAGGGCATTCATTCTTGGGACGAGAATATCATTTTGCCTCTATATAAATCACTGCTAAGACCCCATATTGAATATGCTGTGCAATTGTGGGCACCTGTTCTAAAGAAGGATATTATGGCACTAGAAAAAGTGCAGAGGTGGGCTACAAAATTAATAAAAGGAATGGAACATATCAGCTATGAAGAAAGGTTAACAAATTTAAACCTATTCAGTTTAGAAAAACGTCGCCTGAGAGGGGATATGATAACATTATACAAATATATTCGGAGCCAATACAAACCATTGTGTGGAAATCTATTCACAGACCGGACTTTACATAGGACACGAGGCCATGCGTTTAGACTGGAACAAAGAAGATTTTGTCTAAGGCAAAGGAAAGGTTTTTTTTACTGTAAGAACTATCAGGATGTGGAATTCTCTGCCTGAAGAAGTGGTTTTATCAGTCCATACAGATGTTCAAACAGCTACTAGATGCATACTTGCAAAAACAGAAAATTCAAGGATATAATCTTTCAATGTAGGGTAATAACTGCTTGATCCAAGGATAAATCTGACTGCCATTCTGGGGTCAAGAAGGAATTTTTTTCCTAGCATGTTGCAAAATTGTGCTTCAAACTGGGTTTTTTTGCCTTCTTTTGGATCAACAGCAAAAAACAAATGTGAGGAAGGCTGAACTTGATGGACACAAGTCTCTTTTCAGCTATGTAACTATGTAACTATGTGTATCTCTTTAACCACAATACAGTGTGTATTTCCATGTCTGTAGTTATTTCATGTCTCTGAGTTATTAAGTGAAGGGTACTCATCTACTCAGTGGGGTGGGTTCCCCATAAATAGAAGTTGCACTGAGTGGAGGCACTGCGTCAGAACAAGATGTCCCGATCTCCCAACTATAGCGGAGGCTCAGGATCCCTGTCAGCAACAGAAAAAGGTGTAACTGCTGCTAGCTACTGCTTGCTGCCAGGAGCAGGGCAAAAAAGGGTTACACAAGCAAAAAGAAAGGGAAAGATAAAACAATCAGATAAGACAGAAGTAGCCATGCAGGGAAATAAAACCATTAAACAGGTAACAAGAAAGATATATGGGCCTGAGCTGGTTAAAATAACTTTTAACATAATGGACAATACATAAAGGTGATCAAATATTATTAGCGGTTAAGTAGATATTAGTTTTGATGTTGCAACTCTTGATAGAATATTCCACCGCAGATGTGTTAGCTGTAACTGCCCTATAAAAAAACAAAATAAAAAAACACTGTAGAAGATATGCATACATTTAATGTAATTTTTCATTGGGGGTATATCTAAAAACAACCGGCAAAACCTGCAGATCTATTCGGCCTTTGCAAGCTCTCCCTTTGCAGCTCATATATTTTCAAAGCAGGTGCTCTGGGAAATTGCATACATCTTGAGTTTAGCTAAACTGAGCTAAACAACCAGGAAGTAACAAGACCTGTCCGATTGACAGCCATGTCTGAAAAGCGTCAACTGAACATATGTACAAAGATTACGCTATAATCTATGCTAGCAAAACAAATTCACCGCTGCTTGAGGCTGTGCTCCAAGAACAGTTTGCAGAGGTAGAAAAGTGGATTGTGAATAACATTGTTTTCCTAAACAATGGCAAAACTGCCATTGTTTGGATTGGTGCCTAAATTACATAAATTCAAAAATTCAAAGCTATGCAGCAAAACAAAAGCAAATAGTACACTGACCACAGTTCACTCTTTCAAATATCTAGCTATGTTGCAAGAACCCAGTCTATCGTTCGGCCTTCACATTAAAAAACTCTCATCAACACTTTATCCAACACAAGGTGCCCTGTAGAGAAACAAATCCTGTACAAAGAAATCCTGTACAGAAACAAGCCCAGCTATAACAAAGCAGATTGTGCAACAAATGCTAATGCTGGTTATTGAATACGGGGATGTAGTGTATGCTTCTGTGCCGCAAACCCACATTCATAAACTTTCTATATTGAATAACCAATTCTCCCGCTTTTGCTACTATGTAATTACATGACCCACCATTGTGACATGTTCAAAGAGCTAAACTGCCTATCACTGGAATCTAGACGCACCCTTCGTCTTTCCATCCTTTGTTTAAGAGCCTTTCTGTGAAGCTTCGACCCTACCTGAGTAGAATGCTCTACTGGCCGTTCGCACCTCCTATAATCTCAGAGCCAGTACCAGCACTTTATATGTAGCTCAATCCTCATTTTCCTACAGGGCACCGCAACTACGGAACAACCTCCCGGATACAGTTAAATCTTCCTCAACACTAAAATCCTTAAGAGATCCCTGTCAACATATCTTAGTACAGAAAACACCTATCATCATGGTTGATTATATTTCTTACTTGTTCTGTGTTAAATGTATATGTGTATTTAAATATTACTTTGTATTTTTAATATTATACTGTGCATTTTAATATTATGTTGTATTTTTTATATTATACTGTACCCTTATTGTAACCATACAATGTCTGTGGGCCCAGGACATACTTGAAAACAAGAGAAATTTCAATGTATCCTTCCTAGTAAAATAGTTTATAAATAAATAAATAATACCAAGGTTATCATAAACATCAGAGTATGCAAAGTCATTTTTGAAATTAGAATTAGAAAAGCTTATAGCTTGGGTGCCTCTACTATTGCACAATCTCCAGTCTTACAATACATTTGGGGTAGCCTTCTTTGCTGTTCATGACACTTGAAACATTAAACTGTATAATTGTTTTGGGGGAAATGACATTGTGTTCATTTTGTGTATATTTTTTATTTTATTTTACATTTTGCCAATTTAAACATAAAATTACATTTAAATGTATGAACTAAACTGATAACATTGATAACACTGTTACTTTAGGTTTTTTAATGTGTGGCCTGACTAACTTTCCATTTTTTATATTTTTAAATACTTGCTATGTTCATTGTATTTAAATTGAGTAAAATCTGTTCTATCAAGCCTCATGATGAATGCAATCTCGAATACCTTGCTGAACGTTATCTTAAGTTATCATTCTTTAACCTCATTACAAAGCTGTCACACTAGGTTTAGTTAAGTTACCTAAAATTACTTGTGATTGTAAAATTCCTCTAGTTCTCACTTACTTTTTCATATCTTCATTCAGTTCTTATCATCCGAAAGAAAAATAAAATTGTCCTTCAGTTTCTAAAGGTCCGAGATGGAAGTAGTCTATCTTAAGTAGACTTTTACTGGCAGCATTTTTGAGAATATTATGTTCCTTAAGACTGGACTAACTTTGAGTCTTATCACTGTCAAGAAAACAGAAACTTTCTCATCTGCAACTGCAATAGCTATACCAAACTTGTCAAACGTGTCAGTGTGAGAGATTAAATTGTCATTGTCTTGAACAGATTTCTGATTTAACACAAAAAAGAGCAGCACCAAGTTTGGCCAGCAGTTCTCATTTGTTCAGTAATTCTCCCCGTTTACATTTTGCACTACATTTTAGAACAGAGCACTTTGATAAATCTCCCTATTGTAGCAATAGAGCAACTTCAGTAAGTAAGCAACTCATGGAGCAACTTCAGTTTTTTTCCTTTGGACAGCATGCTTGACTGGTAATGAAAATAACTGGTAACATTACACCCTAGTGGAACACTATGGAACTTGTTCAGAGATGACAGCAGACATCCCAACCAAATCTACCTAATGTAGTAGTCTATACAACATAACATGTTTAAACATATGTAGCAAATACACTTGTTACATTGCAAGTGAATTTCACCTACATATAGCACATACATCTATACATCTATAACACTTTTCAGACACTATAGTTACATAATATGTATAGAAATCTGCTACTTTGTACCTATGCGGGATTTGCTGTGCAGTATGTGGTAAAATAAACTGCAGAGATGTTCTTCATTGGTGTGTTGTCCTGCGGGGCATGCACACTGCATTTGTAGTTTTGTTCCAAGAATGGAAATAAATGCAGCTCTACATTCATCATTTTTCGAACATGTGAGGTCTTCCAGGTCCAGAGAGGCCAGACACTTTTCGTTGTTATGACATTTGGCTATCTGCTGCCAACATTTTTCCACATACATTTCATATGTTTGCCTGCAAATAAAAATGTGTAGAGCATATGTTAAGTTTTATATAAAATCAAAAACTAATATGTTTAAATTTCATGAAAGAAGCATACTCTAGTAAAAGCTCAATATTACATTTTTCATATTGGCTTTATAATATATATTGATTAACTGAATATTTTAGGGATGACAATCATTGGTACCAGGAGCTAATCCAAATAGAAGCCCAATAAGTGAGCCATGATTGATTCACAGACTTTGTTGTTTTAGAAGCTGGAAAGCTCCTTAAAAGTCTCTGTATTATTTTTATGCATTTTGAACTATGTGTCAGCTAATACATGTTCTTAAGTTCCTCAACTGATTTAGCCTATGTGCTGCCTTGTATGTGCAGGTGTTTAACATGCTAGAAGGGTTAATCACTAATGTGAGAATGCAAAGTGAACAGCCAAATATGAAAAAATAAACGTTCAATATACAGTATTACTGGAGTATGCAGCTTTTAAAGGGACTATCCAGTGCCAGGAACAGGAGGATCCAGGTGAGCCAAATCACTTACAAATGATTTTATCTCCTACTGGGGATGGCTCTATGGGACTCTAGACAAAGGGACATAAACAGCATCCTGTAGTGGTAATAGTGCTTAGAGTGCCCCATTGAATCATTATGAGAGAAGACAAATGCTGACTCCATTATCCCCATTTATTTTATATTCTACAAGCATAAATCTATTCTATATCTATACAAACATAAATCTATATTACACTTAATGGGATGAAAGAACCAATCTACTCCTTGTGATGAAAGAGATCATCTCATCAGAAAAATATAAATGGGGCAATATTTATAATTTATTTACATGTATGTTTATATTCAGTTACTGCAAAGTTACATTCAATTTATATATTTACTCATGAAGCCAATGTGCACTGCTCAAAGTAATGGATTCAGTAAAGCTGTTTTAAACAGAGTATCTACATGGCAAGGAAGAGCAAATAAGTTGAAAGTGGGTTGACTTTTCATCTTATCATGTATATAGTTTTTTTCCTAAACACCTTTACTTCCAGAATCAAGCAAAAACATTTTTATTTTTGTGTTCTTTGCAGAGCAAAATGTTGTCTATAAAGCCCAATCAAACTAATTTATACTCTATGAATGAATACCAGCCTGTAGAGGAATGGATTTTTAAACCTGAAACCACTAGTCACTAATATAATGCATTTAAGTGTGTTCAAATTGTTAGCTCACCCCTCCTTCCAAACAGTAAAGGACGTTCAATGAGTCATATAATTCTTACAGTCATGGACTGATAACAATTGCAATAGCACTTGTTAAATATCTTCATGTTAGAAATATATATGTGCCCATTGTATGTAGGCATTATATTTAAAAGCAGACTTTTGTTTTACATTATATTGCCATTTTTCAATAAGCTGTACTTCTAATAATACATCCAGGGTCCTTACAAATATCTTTCAGCGGGTTACTTGACCATTTTAATTACTCTATTTTGTTACACTACTCTATGTGAGAAAATAATGTTTTTTGCTTTTACACTACAATTTCAGATTGTGTGTGATATATTGCAAGATAAGGATCACTGTATACTATCAAAAGCTTTTCATTCCCCAAAAATGTAAATATAGGATGAACAAAGAAATGAAAACTAAAGGTTGTGTAAATTTACATAATGTTTATGTTTGTCTAAAAAGCAATCTATATGCTGATTGTTGTTTTAGTATTAGGCCCAAGGGAGAGTGTGCAGCTTAGCAGACAAGGGCACATGTATGAGTGTGGGAATGGATGAAACATGATTGGCTGTTTGTTATGTGTGGGAGTGTTGGATGTAAGGAAGTGGATGGTGACAAATTAAGCTGACGTCAGTGCCACTTAGGATCTGGGCCAGCAACAGTTTCTTTGCATTCCTCCTGTTATTGGGCCTGTTGGTGATTTCGGCCTGTGGCATGGATATTGAGCAATCCTGTCAGCCCTCAGAGCTGAGGCAGCAGTGGACGGTGGACGGCAGCTCCGCGAGCAGTTTGCTCGCCTACTTCAGCCCCAGCCATCTGGTGGTGCGGACTCCCCTCCCCACAGTGTGGCTCCCCCTGTTCCCCCTCCCATGATATCCTCCCTGGGTGGCCGCACCAGCGCGGATCGGCGCACCCGTCCTCCTTAGCTGAACCCAAGTGCCTCCCCTCGGGCCCAGTATAGGAGCCACAGCCCGGACCTGAGTCAGCGCCAGGACCCCATGCCGGAGCCACGTGACGAGTGGCCTGCATCTCCTCCAGCCTCCCCCGCTGCCCCTCATGGCAGCATCATCGAGCGCACAGAAAGATACGATATTAATTATAGTTATTATGTTGCGATCTGGCTCCTAAGGAAAGGGATACCAGACTGGATGTTTCCCTACCAAGTGAAAAGCCGGCTGGTGGGGAGCATTATGGTCGGGTCCCACCGAGCTAAAAGCCAGCTGGTGGGGAGCCCAAAAGGGAATCGGAATTTATTATGCTGAGTGGGGAGGTGAGAGCCTTTGGGAAGGGGTGAGTTAGATTGGCAAGGACATTTTGATTACATTGAGGGCATACTGTATGACATTATGTACTGTTATTTGTATGTTTAGGTTTGATCGTTTTAGTTATTTATATGTACAGTTTTATACGAATTGGATGCATTACACAGTATTTGTATTTTTTTAATAAATGCTGTGGCCGGTTATATTCAAGGATTTAGTGTCTGTCGTTATTTGGGGTGGGGGGGGAGTTCATGGTTGGTTTAAGGAGGATATCTCATCCAATGCCCAGTATGTACATACATGTTTATTTACTAGCTAAATGTCCCTTGCTTTAAATAGCTGTTATGCTAAAAGTTTAGTTTCTCCAACAAAAAGTGCTTGACAGTACTACTAAATTGATTTTAAAAATCCATTGGAATGTTCCTTAAGGATAGCTATATCAGTTAGTTAAATTCATAGTCATTTACATTTTATTTTGTTATTTTTATATTTTTTTTCATGTATTTGTTCATGTAAGCTGTTTGTAATTATATTACCAACAAAAATATACAATTTTCTTTGGGGTATATAATTATGCTAAATCTAAATTACGCTAGCATCTCCATGATAAGGATATATTTTTTTACAAACCTGCATGCTTCATCTTCAAGGCATCTACGAAAAACACTTAAGCAGGAAGTGGAAACATCTGTCTGCACAGCACATGGTTTACTATGAAGAACTGCTTCTGAATTTGTACAGTTGTTGTCAGATGGAGAACAATAACAAAAAGCCAGCATTTGAGAGATATTAAAAGGCATTTTTTCATAAAATGCCCTTATGGTTCTCTGGCAGTCATTCACATTACACGATTTTCCAGGAACTGTGCAAACTTTCATAAGTGCACCCAAGTATCTATTGCATACTGAATCCCCAAGGCAAAGTGTCGCTACTTTAAAACAAGTCATTGGGTGCCTGTACTCTAAAAGAGAAAAATAAACTGCAAATTAATTTGTATGGTAGGTTTAAAATTTAAACACAAATTATCATTAAAAGTATACATATTTTAGATCTGTTTTATCCTGTGTTGTGATCATTCTGGGAACATCAACAATGTAATTTCATTGACTTCTTGTGGCTTATTTCACTGTGCCTAATTTGTTGTTTGTATCAAGAATTCACTGCGTGGCAAAATGTGTATAGTCATTGGTAGTCTCCAGAGCTATGTAAAGGGTTGCTTAAATTTATGTCAGAAGTTTGTTTTTTCCAGCTACAGCATTGTATTTTGATAGAGAGTTGGAACTTTTGCACTTGGTCCCTGCAGCAATATATTGGCTTCGTACCAAAGACAGATTTGAAGTCAGTCTTTGGAGGGACACATATAAATGTTAGTTGCCACTACAAGCTTACCCCTTGAATGTGACTGCTGGGAATAGACAGGTAAGCAGCATACCTGAGCATCGTAAAAGTTATTTTGCCTTGAGAACCAACAAAATTTAGACCAAAACAGCAGAGAAGAAAAAACAAACTTATTATTTTCTGAATCACACATTTTGCCAGTTGTCTTTTTCTTTTTAAAGTCTCTACAACTCGCTATTTAAATTTGATAGTGTTCGACATTTGCACTATGCCACAGTACTACAAATATTTTTAAAGTATTATCCATTTTTTGAGATTCAGTATAAGAGCAGATAACAATTTTGTTTTGCACATTTTAAAATTAAAATCAAATGATTGCATCAAATGATAAAATAAATACATTCTCGAATTCTTTGCTAAAAAGGAGAACTACTTTACCGATTCTGGCTAGTGAGCTTGTTTCCCATTCTAACGTGATGACAGAATTTGTGGAATCTAGGAAATATAATATAAATAGCTAAATAAGTAAAATGACAATAATGCCAAATATGTAAAAAAAAAAATATATAATTATGACTATGAAGCAATGTTAAAAATAGTGAATTATAGTCTATCAAAATACCTCGATGTAGGTTAGTAAAACAGAAGAAAACCGTTAATTTAATCAGATTGCTTAGCAATGTAACTTTTAGCAGGTGTATTGGCATTTTGTAAACATAGTATTTTTGTAAACATAGTATATCAAAAGGTTTATATATATATATATATATATATATATATATATATATATATATATGTTATAGAATGAAATTAATATATACCTGGTGTGTAATATACATTTTTAACTTACACGTAAATATTTTTGACATCGTTACTTAGAGCTTCTACTTATTTATTTAAAGAAAACTGTCAAAGATTTTGTTTTAAATGCTTTTGTGTTTTGGGCAACTTTCGTTTTTTCATATTTTTCTTTACTCCTGTAATTCTCGTTTAACCCCTTAAGGACCAAACATCTGGAATAAAAGGGAATCATAACATGTCACATGCCATGTGTCCTTAAGGGGTTAAAACCTACCCTTTTGCTTGCAGATTTTTTTTAACTCATTATGTATTGACAGGCAGAAGAATACAAGTTGGATTGCTGTTTTCAAATTTTTCTATATGTGCCAGCATTAAAATATATAGTGCTTTACAACCATGTTTGAACATATGCTCAACACATAGTACTGTCTCCCTGATCTTCTCTACCATTATGCTGATGTGATTAATAATTAGCATTATTGAGGGTTTGCATTTATTTGCTGTCCCTTTGTTTTTCTGGTAGGCATGATGAGTCTAGCAATGTGGCTGAATCTAGCTCTTATTATTATTATTATTATTATTGCCATTTATATAGCGCCAACAGATTCCGTAGCGCGTTACAATATTATGAGAGGGGGGATGTAAATATAAATAGGACAATTACAAGAAAACTTACAGGAACAATAGGTTGAAGAGGACCCTGCTCAAACAAGCTTTCCCAAAGAGATGGGTTTTAAGGCACTTCTTAAAGGATTGAAGACTAGGGGACAGTCTGATGGGGGTAGGCAGGCTATTCCATAGGAAAGAAGCCGCCCGTGAGAAGTCCTGCAAGCATGAGTTGGCCATACGGGTGTGAGCAGCGGTCAGGAGGTGGTCACGGGCAGAGCGGAAGGAACGAGGAGGGGCATACCTTTGGATCTGTAAAGAGATATAAGAGGGGCTAGAATTGTTCAGTGCTTTAAATGTATGGTTTAGCACTTTGAATTGACTCCTATAGGATACAGGGAGCCAATGTAAGGCCTGGCAGAGGGGTGAGGTGTGAGAGGACTGACTAGAGAGGAAAATAAGTCTGGTGGCGGCATTCATTACAGACTGTAGCGGGGCAATACAGCTTTTGGGGAGACCAATCAGCTAAAGGGTTACAATAATCCATGCAGGAAATTACTAGAGCATGGACAAGCTTCTTGGTAGCATCTTGCGTAAGAAAGGGGCGGATGCGGGCTATGTTTTTAAGTTGGTATACAGGATTTGGCAACAAACTGGATGTGATGCTCAAAGGTGAGGCCAGAGTCAAGTATGACGCCAAGACAGCGTGCTTGCAAGGATGGGCTTATGTGAATATCACTGACTTGAAGGGAGAACGAGAGAGGAGGATCAGTATTAGGAGGAGGAAAGACAAGGAGTTCAGTTTTAGAGAGATTGAGTTTCAGTAAGCACAAGGACACGTTACAGGATGGCAGGGGAGAGGTCTGGGGAGGAGAGGTATATCTGAGTGTCATCAGCATACAGGTGGTAGTGGAACCCAAAATAGGCAATACGTTTGCCAAGAAAGTCAGCATAAAGAGAAAATAGAAGGGGACCAAGGACAGAGCCTTGCGGAACTCCAACCGAGACAGGACGAGGGTAGGAGGTATCCTTGGAAAGGAGACACTGAATGAGAGTTGGGAGAGATAAGAGGAAAACCATGAGAGGACAGAGTCACAGAGACTGAGCAATTGAAAGTTTGAAGGAGGAGAGCATGATCAATGGTGTCAAAGGCAGCAGAGATGTCAAGGAAAATTAATATGGAGTTGTGACCTTTGGATTTTGCTGCGATTAGATCATTAGTAACTTTGATAAGAGCAGTCTCAGTAGGCCAGATTGAAGAGGGTCAAGGAGACAGTTGGAATTGAGGAAGCGAGACACATGGGTAAAGACAAGTCTTTCCAAAAGCTTTGATGAAAAAGTGAGCAGGGATATGGGACGATAGTTAGAGGGGGAGGATGGATCAAGAGATGTTTTTTTCAGGATAGGTACTACAATGGCATGTTTAAGGAACAGTGCCAGAAGAAAGAGAGCAGTTGAAGATGTGTGTTAGGGAAGGCACAAGTCAAGAGGAGAGAGATCTGATGAAGTGAGATGGGACAGGATCGAGCGGGCAAGTGGTGGGGTGAGAGGAATGGTGAAGCGCAGCCACCTCTTGTTCAGTAGCCGGGGAGAAAGTCTGAAGGAAAGGAAAGGCATGATTTACGTGTGGTTGAGAAAGAAAACGGCAAGGTGGGGAGAATTCTTTCCTTAGCTGTTCAGTCTTGTCGGTAAAGTAGCATGCAAAGCTATCAGCTGTAAGGTTAGTTTGGGGGGTGGCCACAGCAGGGCGGAGAAGAGAATTAAAGGTGTCAAAGAGACATCTGGGATTGCGGGAGCATGAACTAATGAGAGAGGAAAAGTATGACTGTTTGGCGAGGGAGAGGGCTGCGCTGTATGAACTATAAATATAAGAATATATAGAACAAGTAACACAAACGTACTAGAAATATTAAATGAAAAAAAAAGAAAAGTGCGGAGGGGAGGTAGACTAGAAATGATCCATGGTATCTTCCCCCTCTGCCTTGCCATTTTGTGTGATATTGCATCTGAATCAGCCATTATGCAACCTATGATCACATTCATCTGCCCAGGTGCTGAGTATTCGCTTGTCAGCATTTATAGTGGTCTTCACTTTTAATAAAGTTGAGTGCACTATGAAATCTGGCTGAAGTAAAATATAACAAACAGTAAGTAAGTACTCCCTCCCAATTAAACAGTTAGGCATCTTTTAAAAAATAGGTATATCTTCAAGTTCTTGTAGGTTTAAACATCTAACATAAATTCACACATTCTAGGGGGGCAGGGCTTGACTCCTATGGTGCAGAGACCTGTCTTGCAAGAGCTCCTCTCCTTTATTCTTAATTCAAACAATTCCTGACTTCATTAACCTTGATTTGTCACTCAGCCAAACCCTTACCAGTCTCTAAGCCCAGCTGGGAAGCAATCCTGCAGACAAAATCCCAACAGAAGCAAACTTCCAGCTTACTCTGAAGCATGCGGCCTACAGCGCACCGGGGTGGGGAGGTAGCTGATTACCCAACTTGGAGCTTCCCAAGGGCTAGCATCACTATGCAGGCACCCTGTTGCCCCCCCTTAGACCGGTGGGGGTGAGCCCGGTCCACCCATGGAAAGCTTTCCTGACCTACTGGGAACAGTAGGTGAGACCGATGAACCTGCTGGTACACCTAGCAACTCATCAAGCATGGCGGATGCCACATGGCACCCTGACGCCGTTGAGGACCAGCCAGACATCTTGGTCAGACTGGACAAAGCCTCTGCGGCCTTTTGGCAAAATATGTAGATGCGAATGCATCAATCTGCCCTCAAGTAACTGAAGTACACCCACCTTTACAGTAGACCCCAAACAAGCGACAAACACCTACAGTGCCAGCAAAGAGGAAAGCCCCCAAATGGCGGTGTGGCGGGAAGCTCCCATCTCTCTCATCATTCCGAATCAGAAATGTGACACCAGGAATGCCGAAAGTGACCAGTGCCTCCTACACCCACAGAGAGAGAAAAAACAAGCTGCAAAAGAGCCTTACCGGAACATCGGTCACCGAGCCAAGAGCAACCGAACCAGTGGAGACCGCATAAGGGTTCTCACTCAGGCATGGGGCTGGCAGAGAGGAAAGTACTGGACTCTTGCTACA